TTGATACAATTGCTGAATGTACAAGGTTAACTTAAAGTGTAGCGAAAGTGTTTTGAAACAAGACACGTATGTTATCCAATACGCGTGCGTCAGTTTTCTATTGAAAGCCAATTATTTATTGCAATATTTTTGATACCTAATATTTTTAAAACACTGTATTTATCTAGATGATGTTGGGAGGTAAGAAAACCCGTATATATGTGCTTCATTGATTATGAAAAGCCATTTGATTGAGTTCAGCATACCAGACTAATTACCGCCTTGCAGAGCATCCAACTAGACGAGAAAGACATCAAACTTATTGCCAAACTTTACTGGAACCAAACAGCCATTATTATTACCAACAACAGAGAATCAAAGCCAATCAGTATTAAACGAGGCGTAAGACAAGGCTGTATACTATCTCCCACCCTCTTTACCGTGTATTCTGGAGAATCTATTTAGGGAAGCTTTAAAAGATCAAAAAGGAATTATCATAGGAAAAGAAATAATTAACAATATACGGTACGCGGACGATACTGTGATTCTAGCTGAAAACATCGACGATCTGCAGGAGCTAATCAAGAGAGTTGACATGGAATGCACAAATTGAGGACTGTCGATAAATATCGAATAAACTTTAAACCAACAACCGCTGCAGAGAGTTCAGAGATTCAAATACCTTATATGTTGGATTACCCAAAATCTAGATCCATCCTTCGAAATTCGATGTAGAATAAAACAGGCAAGAAACTCAGTTCAAAAATTCAAGCCTCTATTATCCAAACTCATTAAATTTGGAAATCCGTGAAAAGTTTACAAGATGTTACGTGTGGTCTGTACTTTTGTATGGATGTAAAACTTGGACTTTAAACGCCGATATCATGAATAAAATCGAGGCGTTTGAGATGTGGTTGTATCGAAGGATACTAAAAATTCCATGGACTAGCAGAACCAGAAACGAAGAAGTTTTTCGAAGAATGGGACATCAACGAATTCTAGTAAATATTATTAAGAGGCGTAAACTAGAATATCTTGGACATATAATCAGAGGACCAAGATATGAGTTCCTTAGGCTAATTCTCAACTGTAAAATCGAAGGAAAGAAATGGATAGGACGGAAGAAACTCTCTTGGTTGAGGAATTTGCGGCAGTGGACAGGTTTGACAGCGGACCAATTGCTACACGTAGCCCAAGACCGAGATCAGTATAATAATATTATAAGCATGGTAGTCGCCGACGTTCCGTAGGGATATGGCACTCTAAGAAGAAGTATTTATCTTAATATTTTTAAGACACTTCTTTTATACTATTTTAATACTACAGGTGGCTTGTGTCCAATACTGGATGTTTCATGACTAATAATAGGTGGATAAACAAGAAAGGAAACTTGCCAATTTTAAGGAATTTCAATATAAATTTTAAAGTTACTTTATATTTTCAATAATTATAGCGCACAAGACTGGACTATTATTGATTATGTGATATTAAATATAGTTTATAACACATTCTTATAGAGACTAATGTGGATATAATACTAAACGTGGATAGCAGTTAGTATGGCCAGTATCAAAAGTATCATTTTAGTGACTAAATGGTTCGCTATTATTCCTGTGGCTTTCAAGAAGAAATCCAAAATCTATTTCACAGTATTAGGTTTGTTTATAGTGTTATCAACACTTTATTGTCTATATAAAAGGTATCCAATGCGAAGACGTTATACAACATCCTTTACTGTCGAAAACATTCACACAGTAAATGATATTCTGGTGCTAATAGCATATATGACAACAGTATCGAAAACAAAGGAACTGTACAGTCTGCAAAAGTATCTGTTGGCTTTTGAAGAAATCACAAACAATCGTTCGTGCAATAAATTTACTTGTTATGTTCTTAGTTTGTTATTAATTCTCTTACCACTTGAAATTTTAGACTTAATTTTCACCTCATATTCTTATCCAAACTCGCGGTATTACTGGTTGATCCACTTGTCGAGGGTTTATTATTTTGTTTTATCAATATTAATACTTAAAGTGATTCTCGTGTTTTCTAACATATATCTATATTTAGCAAAGTCTGTTCAACATTTAAAAGCACCAAACGATAAAAACCAAATTGACTTTATACTCAGAGTTAATACGGACATCTGGACAAGTATTAAGATATTTAATGAGATTTTTGGATGGCCAATAGTGTTTATTTTTATAGGAGCTTTCATTGAAATTATTTGCACGCTAGATTATTCTCTTGGGAAGACCATAAGACTTTTACACATCGAAATTATTGATATCATTGTAGGAGCTTATTATATGGTAAGTGTTTTCAAAAAACTTTTGTTAAATTTTTTATATGCGAAAAACAATGTTGTATTTTCGCTGTATTATTCGTATAATTACCACCCTTTAATTTTAAATCATTACCTATCATTATCTCTAGTATAATCGTCATCAGGTAGGAAAGATTCTGCAAAACCGAGGCTTCTTCTGCCCATATTCTAAACATTTTCACACCCCCTTATACAAGAATGAAAAAAAAAGGAATACAAGAAAAAGTAAACCTCCTAAAAATCCTATCGCCTAACATGTAACACTTCATCTCCTGAATTAAATCAATACAGCAAAAATTTACATAAGTGCTTACAAATATAAGAAAAAAAGAATTGTATATTATATTTTGTGGGTTACGCCTTTTGGCTGGCCTGTTTAAATATTTAGGTATGACTATTGATGAGGGTTACGCCGTAAATGTCAGAAGCCCCTTTATAGATAGATAGATAGGTTTATTGACAATTTTTACATACTAAACACTACATGTCATGTCACAATAAAAATAATTTACTTTTGTATACTAAGAACTAAGAAATAATACAAGAACATATAATAAAACATATACAGTGAAAATTAGATATATAAAATTATAACAAATAAGAAAGAAACATTTCAGTAAGGCGTAAAATAGTTTTCATTAAAAACGACCACACTAGGAGCTCAAACAAACAAATTCCTGTATACTATAGAAACAGTGTTCCAGCAGGAAGTGTTTTGCTAGTTTATAAAATTGTTTAGAATTCATTGCCTTAATATCAATATTTTTGTTTAAGTTTAAAAAACAATTATACAGATTATAATCTATTGTATTAAGTTGTGTAACACACAATCTAGAATATGGTATAATGATATGACTTTTATTTCTTGTATTGTAATGATGTTGATCAGCATGTGATTTTACATCTTTTATATTATTATGAATAGTTAACAAAGTTTCAAATATATATATTGAAGGTAAAGGAAGAATGCCATACTTCTTAAATAAGGATTTACAGCTGGCGCGATATTCTGCCGAGTCAATAATTCGGATTGCTGCTTTTTGAAAAGTGAAAACTTTATATGCATAGGACGAGTTTCCCCAAAGAAGTATGCAATATGTCAGGATACTATGAACCATTCCAAAATAAACTGAACTAAGAATATCTCGACTCACAGAAGTAGCCAATCTGCGCATAGCAAAAATCTGTGAGGCGAGCCCCCTACACAATCGTTCAATATGGTGCGACCAGTTCAACCTTGTATCCATAGTAACACCTAGTAACTTTACTGGTTCAGATGGTGTAACCCATCTATCAGAACTAAATACGATTTTCTGGGTTTTCTGCTCGTTTAACTTAAGTTAGTTACAGTTAAACCAGGATTTAGATTTTTCTAATATATCCTGACTGTAATCAGTTTTACCTCTACATAATAAGGTTGTGTCATCTGCAAAAAGAACACAGTTGGTGTTATCCAATGCACTTGGTAAATCATTTATATATATCAAGAATAGTAGAGGGCCCAAAACTGATCCTTGTGGTACTCCGGTTGAAACTGGTAAAGGATCAGATTCTTGATTATTAAATGCAACAATCTGTGTTCTTCCTGTAAGATAGGATTTTAAAAGGTCATGTATTGTGCCCCTTATTCCATAGTACTCCAATTTTATCAATAGTGTTTGAATATCTACACAATCAAAAGCTTTTGTAAGGTCACACATTAAGCCATTAGTAGGTTCACCTGCATCAAAACCGTGAACAATATATTCTATTACTTCTAATAAAGCTTTAGTTGTTGAGTATTTTTTTCTAAAACCAAATTGAGAGCTAGATATAATTGATTTGTTATCCAAATAATTTGATATACGATCTTTAATTAAGATTTCAAAAATTTTACTTATTGTTGGTACTATGGTAATATGTACTATGGTATGGTACTATAGTAATAATGGTACTATGGTAATATGGTTTATGTTTCTTGGTAATACTTATTACTGTAATGTGATATTTTTGTAAAATGATCTGATAGGTATACAATAATAAATAACTGTAATCTTAGGTAGTGCTATATTACATGTATTAATCTTAAACAATTCAAATATACAAAAATAATTAATCTTCCTCATCAGTTTCAGCAAGTTCATCCGGCTCCGAAGTATCTGATCTCATTTTGATGTATTCTTCGTGGTACCGATTTGGAATAACATTATTTTTAATTAAACTCATTAGATCCTCGTATTTTTTAGATGACAATTTCAATTCTTCGTTGTATAGCGGTGCCAGTGAAAGTGATGAAGGAATGGTTGATCGCCTTGTCTTGTGTCCTTTCACACTAATTCTTATTTCTTCACTTTCCGGATCTAATGATGCTTTTCCTATCACCGTGGAAGAATTTTTTTCAAAAGTTATTTTCTTCAAATCAGATAACTTTATGTTATTTCCGTTACTATCCTTCTTTAATACGGGGAAAATAACTTTTTGCAGAGCTTTAAAATAGCAGCTAAAATTTGGTGATTCTTATTTTGGCATGGACAGGAGTCGCAGAATAATTTAACCTTCTTAACAGTACACCTTTCATCCACAATTTTCAGATATTTCAGTAATATGGTACAAATTTCATTTGATCCTCTTTTACCATCTTTTTCGCACCATAAAAAACAATACCCTCGCCTTGTTCCACTTTCGTAAAATGTTTCATTATACATGGAATACTTACGAGAAGAGTAAAGGAGCATACTGTTTCCATGCGGAGTATTAAGGACTTTCTGTAAGTCAAAACTTGCGCAAATAAATGATTCACATGACTTAGCATATTCCTGAGCAGTGAGGTGAATACTTTTTGAAAATTGCACTTCCACTTTATGTTTCTTAAATTTTAAACTCTGCTCCTCACTTCGATCAGTTTCTGACGTGTTCTTAAACTTTTCACATTGTACACATTTATCTTTTTTTGGTACGTGAATGCCAATATTAAATTTGTTATGAAATATATTCTTGAATACCTTCTCACTTACACTTGGATTTTTATTTTTTTCACAAAGAGCTTTGTACATTCTAAAAATATGAGACAAGTTTTTAAAATCTGACGGCAAGTATTTTCTAGTTGACCCAGCTCTACAGTAATGGGACGGTACAGCAGGAAGACTGGATATGAACCCTTCAACATTAGATGACAATTCGGGAGCAGTTTTGTTCTGAGGCGGTTGTTGCCCACGACAATCACTTTTGGCTGTATTTAAGTCTGTTTTATTCTCGTACGAATACCTCACAAGTTTCTCAGAGATATCTAGAGTTTTTAAAAGAAATTTCAGACAAACTTTTCTTCGGACTCCATTTATTGGGAGATAATAGTTTTTCGTAACCTTACGCCTACTGATCTCTGCTTTGGTATATTGTCTTTTCTTATCCTGAGCCGATACATAGGTCACTAAAAAATCCTTTTGCTGTTGATGGGAACGCATGTCATAATATATTTTAAAAATTGTCTGTCTATCTTCATCTGAAATTGTACCACATTGATTCTGGCACTTACCATGTGAACAAGGATTACCGCGCACTGATTTTTCTGTTGTACTTTTTTTATTTATTTGTTCATATTCAAGGCCTTTTAGCCGTTGGGCACTGTTGAACATCCTCTTGTTTACTTTTTCTGTTTTCGCCGACCTTCAGAATCTGCATATTCTAAATGCGTACCATCTGCAACTAAACCCACAACAGTCTCAACTTCACTCGCGTACCCACTATTATCATTTTGGCACCCGTTACTGACATTGTCCCTGCAACTGTCTTGGTTGATATCCATTTGAGAACCATGCTTATCATTATCCAAACGATTTTGTTCCTTTGTCGCAGAATCTTTTATTGAAGTGCAACTTATTACTTCAAGAATTTCAATACCATGTGTTTGGGTGACTGGTGTTCCAGCGTCATCAAAAGGTAGGACTAATATATCTAACGAGGAATGATTTTCCACTTCAATGTTGCTATTTATAGTATAATATCAAAGAAACCGATAATATCCATTTGCTTATTGTTAGATGCTTTATTTTTTTTTTCACCATCTCGAGCATCAGTTGTCTCTGGATAAAGGTATCTAGAACAAATGATATGAATTATACCTACACATAATAATTTCTTATAAATCTGAAATTAAAGATGGACATACATTGTCATCGAAACTTATAAGTTGAAAAATAAATAGATAATTGAATTAACAATTAAATTACTCATTACTCATTAACTACTTAAAAGAAACGAATGTAGTTATTTAAATGAAATAGGTATAAATAGCAAAATTAATATGTTAAGGTAAAAACAAATAAAAATCTGTGGCTAACGGACCTGCATCCAAGCCATCTGTTCACACACACAGACACATAGATAAATGAATAAAAAATTGATAACTTACCTTATTAGACATGTTGTAATCGACGTTTACAATTATTACTCACAACTAAATAAAAACGATAATATAATTATGTTATTAAAAAGTATTACAAAAGCTATCACTAAGTATGATACACACACGAGTGATGATAGACACTTGTCAACATAACCACAATTTGTGGATAGCGCCCACTGGCCAGAACCATACATTAGGTGATGCTATGAAAAGTTAGGCTTACTCCAATTGCCCGGTAAATGATCCTATTACCAGTTGAGGGTTACGCCGTGAAGGTTACGCCAAATGTTGGGATGAAATTGTAAAACCGCCAAATGTACATAATGACGTTATTACAATATTCTATAGGTTTACAATCATAGGTGGGGTACGACCTCTGTACGGGAGGTGTATTTCTGGTCGATATTTCAGAAAAACGAAAAATCTCAATTTCTAGTTTTTGAGGGTTACGCCCTTTGGCCTTTACACGATCGGTGCAGTATATTTCATTGAGATTTGTCTGACTAACTGCTGCCAGTCCCAGGGCATTAAAATAGACATTTAAATTCTTATTTTATTTCTAATTTTAAGTGTTTTTCGCTTTCGTTCTATCAGCGCATGGACAGTGTCCGCCTCCATGTGGGTCCGATCCTTTAGTAGAAACTGAGTGATAATGATTCATTAAATTATCCACCTATTTCATTTAAATAAGTCAATTTATAGCAGGTAATTGGTTATTTACTTGACCAATCACTTCCTGATATCGTGTATAATGCTATCTATATGTTTTGTTGTCAACTAATTAAATCCAAGTATGTGATTCATTGCAAGTATTTGGTTCAAAGAATGTTTTGGAGTTTTTGTGATTACTCGATAACTAACCTGTCTTACTTCTTCTTCTAGTGCCGTCTCCACTAATGAAGGTTGGCTATAACCAATGCAAATTCGTCTATATCTTCTGTTTTCTTAAGAACGTCTGTGTGTTTAACCCATTCTAGTTACGAATGTTTTTCAACCAGGATATTTGTCGTCTACCAGAACCCCTTTGGCCATCGATTTTACCCTTTATAATCAGCTGCAACAATTCGTACTTATCATTTCTAATCATGTACCCCAAATATGCTGTCTTTCGCCTTTTAATAATGGTCAGAAGTTCTCTGTCTCTTCCCATTATGTGCAACACCATTTCGTTCATAATATGATCGGTCCATGGTATCTTCAAAATTCTCCTTACAGTCCAGGCTTCGACATCATAAAGAAGAATAGAGAAGGATTTGCAAATTAAGTCTTTGGTTAGTCAGAAATTTCTCATTTTCAAAAAAGGTGCTCTTGACTGCTCTATTCTTGAACGATTTTCGGATGTCGTAATCCAGACTTCTAAGTATTTTATTTTGTCCACTTACTTAATATCTTCATTTTTTATCTTGATCCTTGTAATGACTTTGCCCCTCTTAATAATAACCATGGTTTTGGTTCTCTTTATACTTATTTTCAAACCAAATTGTTTGGCAGCCATTCTGTAGATATCTCACCAGATTTGTATATGTTGTTAAAGAGTTTAGCTATTGCACTTAAATTGTCGTCGTCTATATCAACTCGATATGAACTTTATCTGGCCCAGAGGCCCAGAGGCTCAGCCAGATTTTGAGTTGTTTATAGCATATTAGACTTCAGATTTTAATATTATTGAAGCTTCCTCGTTATCAATTTCTGTTGGTTCCGTTCTTGTGTCTATGAAAAGATCTTCAATATATTTAGTCCATACTTGTTTTATTTTAATTGGGTTATAATAGGTTTATTGTTTTTTTCAATTAATTGGTTAGGTGTATTTGTTAAATTATATAAATAAAGTGTAAATTATAATGATTATGTTTTTCTGCAATTCTTCCACTTCGATGCATGTTTACATCATCCACTTTCCTTAGCCCCTTTTATTTTGTTCCTTATTAATTTATGTCTTTCTCTATAATTATTTGGGTTTTTGTTTCTATATTTTCTTTTTTGTTCCACGATTTCCAGTATTTCTTGAGTCATCTAAGGTTTTCGGTTTTCTGTTTTCTTTTATGTTTGTAACAGAATCTTTTATTTTGCTACACATAATGTTCACATTCCCAATGTTTTTTATTTTTGATGTTAATTGACATTAAACCTGCCATTAAAATGTATAAACTAGGTAAAGAAGGAAAATAGAAACGGTTGTTTTATGACTTGTATATTAGTTAGAATATTTGTATTGTTTGCTTGTCTCTTCTAATATAATTTCGTTAATAGGAATTTCTATTCTGTTATATAATGTTGTTTTTATTATTTCATTACAGATATTTACCAGAGATTTACTTTGGTAGTTATACATAGAAGTTTGTAGTTTGTTTTTTCTTAGATATTTCGAATCCTTATAGCTGAGTTTTTTTTATTGGAAAAGTTGTTTATGATAGTAAAGTACAACCATATCAAACATTCATAACATTGGATTGTGAGTACTTATTTGTACTTTGCTAGTATAGTTATGGGACAACTCTATTTTATTAGATTTTTATTATAAACATTTTGGTTTGCTGATTTTCATTTATTCAAATAACAAATCCTAAAGATATTGTTGAAAATTCAAGGCATTTCTAATAATATGCTTCTCATTTAAAACATTGCTTGGTGTATTATTTAATTTTGAAATAAAACTAGGCTTATAATATTCATCATCATCATTCGGCCAATCGCGTCCACTGCCAAACATATGCCTCCCTCAGTTCTTTTCAGTGTTCTCTATACTGGGCCGCTTGTAGCCAGTTTCCCGCTACACGTTTTATATCATCGGTCCATCTAGTCGGTGGTCGTCCCCCGCTACTTTTACAGTTTCTGGGCCTCCATTTCATAATACGTCTTGTCCACTGTCCATCTTGTCTTCTGGCTAAGTGCCCTGTCCAGTTCCACTTTGGCGTCATGTTTCTTTCAATGACGTCTTGAACTCCTCTTGATCTTTGCTTGATTTGTTAGTTTGTTATATGGTCTTGAAGGCTCACGTTCAGAATTGCATGTTCCATGGCTCATTGTGTAACTCTTTACGTTTATTCGCAGATTTTTGCGTGAGTGTTAAAGTCTCAGCTTCATAAGTTTGTACAGATAAAACACATTGGTTACAAACCTTTCACTCGAGACACATGGGAATTGAACTTTTTAGAATATGCTTAATTTACTAAATGCTGCCCAAGTCAGACCTATTCGCCTCTGTATTTCATGTGTTTGATTGTCTCTGCTTGAGAACTTTCTTTGTCAACCATTTTCCATCCATTTCCTACATCCACTCCTGAATGTAGGTCTCTCCCAATTACTTCCATCTTTCTCTATTTTGCGTCAATCTAATCCACTGTTTGCCTTCCACGGCTCTTATGTCATCTACCCATCTTTTTTGAGGTCTTCCCATGCTTCTTGTTGTCGTACTTGGTCTCCATTCTAGAATTCTCCGTGTCCACCTGTTGTCATTATATCGGGCTACGTGACCTGCCCAGCGATATTTCATTTTTGTAATTTCTCCCACAATATCCTTAATCTTAGTTCTACGTCTTATCTCGGTGTTTCTAATCTTGTCTCTTAGTGATATTCCAAGCATGATTCGTTCCATTGCTCTTTGCGTTGTTTCTAATTTTTTGGCAGATTTTTTGGTAAGTGCTACTGTCTCCAAGCCGTAGGTACAAACAGGTAGTATGCATGTGTTATACACCTTTTTCTTTAAGTTTATAGGAATGGAGGTGCTTTTCAAGATATGTGCTAGTTGCCGAAAGCGCCCCAAGCCAGTTGTGTTCTTCTTTTAATTTCAGCATCTTGATTTGGTTTTCCTAGTTTGATAACATGACCTAGATATACATAATGTTCCACATTTTCTATGGTATGTTTGTGTATTGTTATATTTGTCTGTTCTCGGCTTGAGAACTTTAATGAGTGGAAATATAACTATTTCCACTCTCTAATGAGTGGAAATAGTTATATTTCCACTCATTACGAGATTTGTCATAAGTTTAGTTTTCTAAAAGTTTATCTTTAATTCTGCTCTTTCAGACAGACTTGTCAGCGAATGTATCATAGAAACTGTATCCTGTAAGTTATCTGCGATTAATACAACATCATCTGCAAACCTTAGATGATTGAATCTTTCTTCATCTATATGAATGCCGATATCTTGGCATTGGGTGTTCTTAAATATTGACTCTAGAGCTGCCGTAAACAATTTTGGTAAAATAGTGTCTCATTGTCTAACTC